CCTGTAGTCCCGGCTACTTGGGAGGCTGAGGCAGGAGAATGGCGTAAACCCGGGAGGCGGAGCTTGCAGTGAGCTGAGATCCCGCCACAGCACTCCAGCCTGGGTGACAGAGCGAGACTCTGTCTCAAAAAAAATAAAAATAAATAAAAATAAAAGAATAATCCATCTGGGCGTGGTGGCTCACGCCTATAATCCCAGCACCCACCCAGGGTGGATCACCTGAGGTCAGGAGTTCGTGACCAGCCTGGCCAACATGTTGAAATCCTGTCTTTACTAAAAATACAAAAATTAGCCAGGTGTGGTGGCGCACACCTGTAATCCCAGCTACTTGGGAGGCTGAGGCAAAATCGCCTGACCCTGAGGTGGAGGTTGCAAGTGAGCCAAGATAGCGCCACTGCACTCCAGACTGGGCGACAGAGCGAGACTCTGCCTCAAAAAAAAAAAAAAAAAAAAAAAGAGAGAATAATCCACTTTAGAGTTAGGCTTGGGGTCCAATTCCAGTCTCCCTCTATTAAGAGCTGCGTGACCTTAAGCACATTAACTTATTACCGGAAAAGTGTCCCAATCCAGCCCCCAAGATGGTGTTACTGGACTTCACACAGTAAGAATTCGGGGCAAGTCCATAAAGTGAAGGCAACTGTATTAAGAAAGTAAAGGAAGAAAGAATGGCCACTCCACAGGCAGAGCAGCCCTGAGGGCTGCTGGTCGGCTATTTTTATGGTTATTTCTTGATTAGATGCTAAACAAAGGGTGGATTATTCATGAGTTTTCCTGGAAAGATGTGGGAAATTCCCAAAACTGAGGGCTCCTCCCCCTTTTAGACCACACAGAGTAACTTCCTGACGTTGCCATGGCATTTGTAAACCGTCATGGTGCTGGTGGGTCTCTTAGCATGCTTATGTATTATAATTAGCATATAATGAGCAGTGAGGACGACCAGAAGTCACTTTCGTCCCTATCTTGGTTTTGGTGGGTTTCGGCCAGCTTCTTTATGGCAACCTGTTTTATACGCAAGGTCTTTGTGACCTGTGTCTTGTGCTGACCTCCTATATCATCCTGTGACTTAGAATGCCTTAACCTCCTAGGAATGCAGCCCAATAGATCTCAGCCTTATTTCACCCAGCGCCTATCCAAGATGGAGTCACCCTGGTTCAAATGCCTCTGACAAACTGATCTCTTAACACACCCCCACCCTCCTCACGGTGATGGCCCAGATCACTGGAGAAGTGCTATCTTGTTCCTTCTTGACTGATACTCTACCAGAACTGCTACTTTTGCTTTTTTGGCCGCTGCAGACCTCACTCCCCTGAGAAGACTTTAGCCCCAGTCCACTTTGCTTAGCCTGGGGCTTGGCTCCTGGGAGTCAATGTCAGACATCCTCCTGGTGGCCGTGAATCCCTCCCTGAGCCCGCAGTACCACCACACGCACACTGAGGGCGCTGTCCCACACCTCAAATCTTTCCATTTTCCTTGTTCACCTTAAGAGGGTTAACAGCTTCCGGCCGGGCGCGGTGGCTCACGCCTGTAATCCCAGCACTTTGGGAGGCCGAGGCCAAAGTGGGATCACAAGGTCAGGAGATGGAGACCATCCTGGCTAACATGTTGAAACCCTGTCTCTACTAAAAATACAAAAATTTAGCTGGGCGTGGTGGTGGGCGCCTGTAGTCCCAGCAACTCGGGAGGCTGAGGCAGGAGAACGGCATGAACCCGGGAGGCGGAGCTTGCAGCGAGCCGAGATGGCGCGCCACTGCACTCCAGCCTGGGCAACAGAGCGAGACTCCATCTCAAAAAAAAAAGAAAAAAAAAAGAGGGTTAACAGCTTCCATTATAACCTCAGAGTATGAATGAACCAGGCGACTCCTCGATTAAGCTGATCTGAAAACATGGAAAGAAATGGTTTGAAAACTTTGCTTCCAAGTAGACGGGGCCTACTTATTGAACCACTCAGGTTCTGTAAGTGTGAGCCAATTGAGAAGGATCTTTGTGCAATATTCCAGGATGTGATGCTACCTCTGCTGTACCTGCACCTTCCCCAGAGTGGCACACGGGGAGGGGGTTCATGCTTACGTGTAAGACTCAGAGTAGGCGTGTGAAGGCTTGCATCTGGAAGGAAGACAGACCAGAACAAAGCTGCCTCCTCTCTTTTTTTTTTTTTTTTTTGAGATGGAGCCTTGCTCTGTCACCCAGGCTGGAATGCAATGGCGCGATCTCGGCTCACTACAACCTCCGCCTCTCAGGTTCAAGCA